ATAAACATGCTATTTATTGTGCATGTTTATTTGCTGTTAAATCCCTCCCTACTCATCTGCAGCCTCCAGTAGAATAAAAAAAAATTTCCATAATAACATCACACAGATCTGCCATGATTTATACAATAAAAGTGTTTCCGAAATGTTGCATTTAAGTCAAATCCTATTTTAATGCAGTACAGCTGGATGCTTAAAAAAATAAAATGGCAAATTGTTTTATATGGAGAAATAATTTCATAAAGCAGATAGTTACCTTCTAATTTATCAGTTTTAAATACCTTGTTCTTTTTATAATTGACCTACTTAAAGCAAGTAGCATCTACATACTTTAAAAGAACATTTGTTTTATTGAAAATGTTTCTCAGAATTATAAATTTAAAAAGAACAGTAAGAAAATAACCTTTCAAAAATTTGACAGTCTTTCAGAACTTCCATACTTGCTGTACTGGATTGAATTGTGTTCCCCCAAAACTCCCTGAAGCTTGAATTGTGTTCCCCAAATTTTACATATTAGAAACTTAGCCCCCACTGTGACTGTTGAGAGGGTGGGAAATCCTATGATGGTAATTGGAAAGTGGAGACTTGAAGAGGTGATTGGATTTTAGGACCATGCAGTAGTGAATGGATTAAAAATGGTGGTCATGGGTGTGGTTTTGAGGGCTTTAAAAGGGGAGCATGACATATCTGTCTCTCTCTACTCTCTCTGCTTCCACTATCTTGCAATGTGAGGCCCCTGAGTCACTGTCATCACCACCGAATGGACTTCAGACTTCCCAGCCTCAGAAAACGTAAGCAATAAATTTTATTTTCTTTGTAAATCACCCAGTTCAGTGTACTTTGTTATAAGCAACAAAAACGGACTAATACAATTGCAATACACCATCCTAAAGAATCTCTAGCTACATAATATTGTAATTAACCAATCCTATTGATTTCATAATAAAATTCTTAACCTGTGCCTATATATTGTTAAACTCAAAACGAGTATGCATAGGTTACTCTTTAAATAACCCCAGCCTTATATTTTGAATTATGAGAGGACAATTCACTTGTTTATTGCATTCATGATACTGAGCATACAAAGCACAATGTAACACATAATACTGCAAATAATAGTACATCTTCACAGAGAAACCTCTTGAACTTCCATATCAAAATCCATATTGTTTCTACATCAAGCATAACATTCGAACTGTTCAATTAAATACGTAAACTTCATATCATCTATATCAACAATGACCACTGACCCTTGGATAATCAAAAATAAATTTGAATTATTTTGCCCAGCTTGTAGCTCATTGCCTGGCATATATTATGTACTCAGTACATTTCCATTTATTTATTTATTTATTTATTTATTTATTTATTTATTTATTTATTATAAGGAAGAATGAATTTTACTTAATTTTATTTTGTCGATATACAATGAGGTTGATTATTGTGGCCCATTACCGAAAAACCCCTTCCCTCCTCTCTCTCCTCCCTCCAATCCAACAATGTCCTTTCTGTTTGCTTGTCGTATAAACTTCAAGGAGTTGTAGTTGTTAAGTCTTCTTCCCCCCCCCCCCGGTTTTTTTGTGTGTGTGTGTGTGAATTTATTTATTTATTTTTAGCTCCCACCTTCCATTTAAATGGTAAGTGAATAAATGGCTGCTTTCAGTGGTTGAGATTGCTTTACCCATATACTCCCTTGACATATTTCCTTTGGTTACCAATGACTTGCATTTTCATGACAGCTCTTAGGAGTTTAGGGGAAACAATTTGGGACATATGAAAATTAGTTCGTGTGTGTGTGTGTGTGTGTGTGTGTGTGTGTGTGTGTGTGTGTGTACTAACATGCTCACAGGGAATCAAACCTATTACTTCGACTTGTTTATTACTATTATCTCCTCTAGTGTTACTCAAAGAATAATCCTGGGAAATCATACAACAGAATCACCTGGACAAAAAGGTAAATTCTTAGTTTTGCTGATTAGTACTAAATTAGAATCTGAGGGAGAGACCCGGGATCCTATATTTTAAAATCCTCATCTTCATCCTACCTGGGTCCCTCCACATGATTCTGATGCACATTAAATTTTGAGAACCTCTGCAAAGTATTCAGGTGAAATTTTAAATCCATATATCAACTATACTAAAAGTTTAAAGCGTGTAAACTAACATCTTATAAAATACACAAAATACGTAGCTCTGCTTTTCCAGAATCAAACATGAACTAAAGAAGCAAATGTGTTGTTGCCATAACCCATTAGAAGCAAATGCAAAAGAGGTTTGATACTTTATCCTGGTTCAACTTAAAATTCAAGGCAAATACTATAATGTTACAAACTTTGGTAAATCCTTCCCAAATGGAAGTGCTCTGTAAGCATCTGATAAGGATTGGTAATTGTGGTCAAAGAGATGCTGCTGCAAGGCTTTGTGCATGGTCAGCTCACTTGCTAATGATGTATAACCGCCTATGATTGAGTCTTCTGCCATGAATGAGGCAGGGAAGTCTGGTTCACATTGAGGAAATCAGAAACAAATCAAAAGCAGATCTTTGCTATTTGGGATTGGTCCAATATCATAGTTATTTTGAAAGCTCATGGGGGAAAAAAAAACATGCAATTCTAATCAAAATATTTATACTTTCACAGAAGTTGCTCTACAAATTCAAACTAAAAAGTAAAACTTTCATTTACTAGGATAAAGAATAAACTAAAAAAACACATAAATATATCTTAGTTTATTAAAAATATATATTTTTTATTCCCTGTATTAACATTCAGGAGTTTGGAAAATACAAACATAAACACTGGTATCTGAGAGATCAAAAATTTAATTAAATATATGGGTTATAACAATGAACTTAACTCAGCATCTATCAATTTTAGTTGACTAATTTTAACACTACCCCAGAAAGGTCCCATATATATATATATATATATATATATATATATATATATACAAGAATAATAGAGAAGAAAAAATATATTCCTAACATTAGCAAGAGTATATGATAATTAACCAACTGGATGATGTCAACATTAGATGGTTAAACAGGTAATGCCCAAATGCATTAGACATAAGTCACTTAATGCAACCAATATTGCAATTGTCTGGATAATTTTAAAGTTTATTATGGTCCAGATTTTATCTATAATACACACACACTTTTTTATCGTATATATTTGAGGTATACTACATGATGTTTTTACATAGTAAAATAACTACTACAGTCAAATAAATTAACATATCCATTTCCTCATATAGTTTGTGTGTGTGTGTGTGTGTGTGTGTGTGTGTGTGTGTGTGTGTGTGTGTGTGTGGTAAGAGCAACTGAAAAATACTCTCTTAGTAAATTTCCAGTATACAACAGAATATTATTAACTCTAGTCATAATGCTGTACGTTAGATCCTTAGACTCATTCATCATACATAAATGAAACATCATACATACCTTTTAACCTACATTCCCTGTTCCCTTTCCCCTATCCCTGGTAATCATCATTCTACTCTCTGTTGTTATATATTCATCTTTTCTTAGATTCCACATATAACTTCCACATGATACATTTCACAAATATAATAAAATTAAAATTAGTCACGATTTGCTCATGAGCAATAGCAAGTAGACTTTTCATTGTACAGTTTCATAGGGTCCATCATAACCATTGTGAGGGCTATCTTTATGGTTTTAGATTCCATCCGATGTGTGAAAACCTTCTTAAAATTCTCCACCAGACAAGAATATTCTGAGTTTCTCTCCGTTCACTCCTTTGAGTAGTTACTAGTTTACATTTTGCTAATACTTCAGATGTAAAACACACACATTCTACTTTTTTTTTTGTTTTTTTTTTTGTCTTTTGTCTTTTTCCGTGTCTGGCAATGGATCGCAACCCTCAGTGTTGCCCCCGCACCGGACTGGGGACCGGCAACGGGATCGCAACCCTCGGTGTTGCTCCCGCGCCTCGCTCAGCCAGTGAGCGGGAACCGGTCCGTATGTGGGATCCGAACCCTCGGGCGGGAGCGCCGCCGCGCTTCCCAAGCGGCGCACTATCCAGTGAGCCACCGGGCCGTCCCCCACACATTCTACTTTTGCAGTTGCTCTACATAAGAATCACTAGAAGGTCACAATAACATCAATCATTTATGGAGAATTTTGTATAAACAATATATATATATTTTTTTCCTTTTTGGTGTCCAGCAACGGATTGCAACCCTCAGTGTCGTGCCCGTACCGGACCGGGACCGGCAACGGGATCGCAACCCTCGGTGTTGCGCCCGCACCTCGCTCAGCCAGTGAGCGGGAACCGGTCCGTATGTGGGATCCGAACCCTCGGCGGGAGCACCGCCGCACTCCCAAGCGGCGCCCTATAGCAGTGCGCCACCCGGCCGGCCCGCAAGGCTTATTTCTTTTTTTTTTTTTCTTTTTGTCTTTTTTACTGACCGGTAACGGGATCGTAACCCTCGGTGTTGCGCCCGCACTGCGCTCAGCCAGTGAGTGGGAACCGGTCTCCACATGGGATCCGAACCCTCAGCGGGAGCGCTGCCGCGCTCCCAAGCGGTGCACTCTCCAGTGCGCCACCGGGCGGGCCCATGTATAAACAATATTTTGAATGCAGTACAAGAAGATTTTATTCCAAAAGTCCAATAGAACCTCATTCTGAAAACAGCTTACACCTACAAGGAGAATCTACATATGGTTGAGTCAGCATTCTAGAGTGGTTCCAGTATATCTTTTCTGAGAAGTGTAGTAACAATCAATGATATATTGAAAAATCAGAAACCTTACATAACAGCAGAGAACAGATATGCAGCATTTGGGCCCTTAATTCCTAAATTAATTGTTCATATTCCACATATAGCTGTTACTTCAGTGAAACTTATTAATAGTAAGCTTCCCAACTGTTTGACTTGCAGCCAATTCTAAATTCACAGCAAATTGGATCTATGGACAAATTCTTTCTTCCCAAACCAAATTATACTTAAAATCTCATCTGCCATAATTTGGTTCCTACCTGTAACTTTCAATTCGGTTGTTCGTCTTACAAGTTTTCCTTCATACTTAAGTTCACACGTGTAATTTCCTCCATCTTCTTCTTGAACTTCCTGGATTAGAAGAGCATTTCCTTTCTGTATTATTATGCTTCTCCACATTTTTGGCTTGCATTCCTGCAGAGAAAATATTTGCAAGTAAGCAAAAAATAAAAATTTGCTTCACATATATTGTAGTGCTGGCAAATTAGTACTTTCACATTTTTGTATTCTTCTCTTTAGTTTTCGAAGTATGTAACTAAGAAGTTAAGTCAATGACCAAGCAATGTCACAAATGTGTCTTATTCTGACCAATTCAAATATCACAACTAACACACTGAGAGCTACTTTAAAGGCCTGAACCCATAAGCAAGAAGTCTTCAGAGGCATTCTGCAAAAATAGAAAAGCATACAATCTCCCCAAATGTAAGAGGTATAGCAGAACTTTAATGTTGCTAAATATTATTAAAATGTTTTGGTTCTTTCTATTTGGCAGGGATTTTCTTAAATGTCCTAAGAGGATATGGTTCACTTAGCCAGTTAGTATGCTCCAGGGGAGAGTTAGGCATTATTAAACATTCATAACAGGCTTTTACATTGGCAATGAAGTTTCCAATTGTTTCATTACTTCTTGTTGTAAAGACTAATACTAATACCACAGAGTCTTACTCCTTAGAGTCAAGAGATCCATTTGGGGGATGAGGGGAAGGAGTCTAGAAAATTAGGCTTAAAGAGTTCTCTAGAAACATAGCTAGGTAAAATGAGGACACACTTTCTTATAATAACTGCACAGAGAAAGCATCCACTTACTTTCTGATTTCAATGATGTATAACCAGAGAATAAGATTTGGGTTTTGAAACCAATTATATTATCCTGATGGGAATGTGAGGGAGTCTTGTTACTGGAATAGGACTTCCCTAGAAAGGAATGTGTAACATGTTTCCTGACAGTGGCAAGGATGCAGTAATAACCAAGTATGCAAGAATATTCAGCCATCTGTCTTTGTCTTTTGGGAATTTTCTCAGACTAACTTTTTGATATTGTCCCCATCTGTCTACCCCACTTACCCCAAATGTTCAACCAATGTGGATGCATAGGGGATAGTTAAGAGGGAGTGTTGAATAATCAAGACAGAAGTATTTTATAATCTAAATTCTGAGTCTGTCAGTTGGCACAATAAGGAAATTGATTGTGAGGCAGATGATGTGAACAACATGTGAGAGCACCTTCCACTTTCCCCACTATGGTGTATACAGCATCCGCATCTCCCTCTCTCCTTGACCCCACCCCTGACACACGCATCCTAAACATCCACTTAAAGTTAGAATCTATGCTGACCCAATCCCCAGCTATGAGTGCTCGTATGTGTCTGCATGTGTAAATATTTTGGGAGAGCGAGTACCTATTTATTAGTTTTTCACTATAACAATTTTTTTTTCTTTTATGTTAGCAGCAGTTTTGACAACAAAACACAAAAACTGGCGCTTAAGTTCTCAGGTATATTATTTAAGATATATGCTTGCTTTATGTCCAACTACCCACACACATTGTCAGAGAGTAAATAAATGTAATGCTATTGAAGGCATCTAGATATAAGGCTGCTTCACTCCCCAGGGTCTTTCTGAAGAACAGTTAAGGGTCTGTCTGAAATTATATTACATACCATGTCTGGCAAGGTTTATTACCTATATGAGATTTGCTTCTGAGTTAAACCTTGGGATATAAAGTTTCTGGGAAAATGAAGAAGAAAGTCTGAACAGAGAGAAAAAAAACAGCCCAGCTGCCACTGTCGTCATACAATAATAATCCACAATTATTTTCGCATTGCTTCCAACCCTGATAGCCTCAGATTTCTAAAGAATCATTCTGAAGGTCATTAAACAAATATATGGTCCCTCTGGGCATTTTGAGAGGAAAAGAAAATGAAAACTGAGCTGCTGCACTTTCACACAGCAGTGGTGGGGGCAGGAAAATGAGCCCACACACTCATTTTATTCAAAGACAAATGGCATTGTTTTCTAATGTCATTTGGGGGGAAAGTCCATATGTAATTAGTTCTAACCATTTTCGTTTTCCCTGTTCACTGCTCTGTTTCCTCTCCACCCCAGGGAGTAAAAACTAAAGAATATATAGAAATTAGAAATTACTCGTACCTACTGATAAAGAACAGCCTGGAGTCTTTACAGATTGAGATATATCTAGATAGTCCTAAGTGCTTTCAAAGTTGCCATCTAGCCTTGTGAAGGATTGTTTGTATCCAATACAGGGCTTTTATTGGGAAAACTGTGGAATACAAAAAATGTTGCCTTCAGCTCACCTCCGCCCCTCTGGAGACAATTTAGTATAGATGAAAAAGCAAACTGACTTCAGCGCAAGACATCTCTAGGTTAAAAACCAGGGTTCACTTAAGTCCTGTGATCTTGGGCAAATTTGCTTAACTTCTTTAGGTCTCAATTTCTTCTGCTGCATTATAGGGGTAATATTAACTACCATATGAGTAGGCAGAATCTTGAGGCTTACAGGTTTATTCATTACATTCTTGTAGGACAGCACTATATATAGTGGTCATCCAGCACAGAGAATGTTCCATTCCTAAACCTTCCCAATCCTGGATTATGTCTCTTCAGAACCTCTGGTTCTGCTTGGTGAAAACCCGTGTTTATAGAGTAATCAGATAAAAACAATTCATTAATTTTTAGCTATCCACAAAAATAATATTTTAACCCAATGAAAATGCATAGCTCCTGAGAGGCCACTCCAATACTAATCTTAGCAGGTGGGAGGAAGAGCTACAGTTTGGTCAGATAGGCCTTTGAAGTACCTTTCCCATCGCTCCATATAGATGACCATCCTGCTCCTACCAATCCACCTTTTGGAAAGTTACTTTGTCGGCTACCCTACCTTGGTCTGGGTACCTGCGTAGAATCTCAGAAGTCTTCCAGGCTCTTGACTCCATTATTTTCAGTGTCTCTTCCCTAAGCTGCTGGCTGCTTAGCTTGCTGCTGTCACTGCTTCTCTCTTGCCCCCTTTTTTCCTAGTTGACAGACAACATTGCCATACCTCACTGTATCAGACCTGTTAAATTCTGACAGCCTGTTAGGCAAAGTTTGAAACACAAAGGTCAAGTCTCAAGATGGCTGTTTATCTGAGGCCAGGACAAACCTCCAAGGGCTCAAATGTGAGCAGGCCCCTAATACTGACTTCAATGTGTAATGCTTTTCTGTTTATTATCCCAGGAACTGTTAAAATAAACTTCATCAATTTGAAGATTTTGCAGAGGGCCAGTGTTGCTGGAGTTGCCTAAATTCAAGAAATAGCTCCATTTCATTTCCTAGTTGTCACTTCATAGAGCAGCTCGTTGTAGAACATCCTTGTTCAGTCAACATGATGCCAACCCTTAAAGCCCAGCTCCTTTCCCTCACTTCTAGCCTTCCTGGGTGGCAGGTGTCCCCTGCCAGCAGTTGCTGGGTTGGTATCCTGGAATGCACAATGGAAACATATGTTGACCAAGATCCCTGAAGTAACCACATTTGCTAGCTACATTTGGATCTTGGAGTTTCCACCCTGAAATATTCACCACTGTACTTGTACTCACAGTCTAGTTCTGAGATAGCATCATCACACCCACAGGTGCTTTTTAATCCATTTGATTTGGTGGTCATGGTTACTTTAGTGCCATTCAGAGCACATGACTCATTTCTCAATGTAAAAACATGAGGAAGATTGATTTAAATATTTCTTCTGATTCTAAGTTTCAACCACAAAGCAGCTGTGCAATCATACGTCAATCATGGAAACTCTGGTCCTCAAAGCACTTTTGTTCGAATACCCAACATCCACCTCTTCAGAACAAATTTTCTCCTTTATGCTGGAGACTGTACTATCCTGTAGGGCATCCAGACATCTGATTAACAATTTTTAGGGAACCCAAACTTTCTTCAATTTAAAGATGGAGGAGATGCTTAGGAACACAATTGTGAATTAGTTATCAACCTTCCCCTTTTAAGCTCTACCTCTACTTCAAATGTAACCCACTCCAAGGATTTCTTTCTCTCTTAAGCTATATTTATCCAACTTTCTATCTTAATATTGGAGTTGGTAGCCTATAGTGGTTAAGAATGTAAGTTCTAGACTCAAACGTTTTGGTTGGAATCCCATGTTGTATGTTCTTGAGCAAGCTACTAAGCCAATCTAAGCCCCAGTTGCTTCACCTATTAAAAAAACAGGGGCAGTTCTGGTCAAGATGGCAAAATAGATGGTCCCAAGCATGACTCTCTCCCACAAATCAACAAATTTACAACTATTAAAAAGCAATGACAGCCAAGCTGGGACCACTAGAGATCACTCCCACCATTTCAAGTCTTGGCCACTTCAAGCCTGGCCCGGGTGAGTACACAGAGCAAGAGCTGGCAAAAGCCGCAGGTGTGCCCTTCATATGAAATTACTTGGAGGTGGCTGGGGAGAAGAGGACCTTCGTGGCCCTCAGGACAGCAAGACCACTAAAAGGTTCCTGTGAACCCACACAGGTGGGGACACAGACAACTGAAAAAAGGAGCCACTCAGAGGCCGGTGAGTCACTGCAAGGGACCAGTGCATGGCCTGTTCCATGGGAAGTGTTTGGAGTGTGGTTGGTGGGGAAGATGGGCCCACTGGTGTAACATTGGATACAGCATAGACAGCTGATCTGCCCTCCAATCAGCTCACGACCACTCGGTGTAGACCAGTAAGGAATATAGAATTGTAGGGAGTGCAGTTTGCTGGAAAGACTCAGGCCCAAACCAGAGTTTTTACACAACCCAGGAGTACCAGACCCCAAGAGACCCGGAAGTACATACAAGGTCAAAAATTAAAACCTGAGCTACTCAAAAAGCCTTCCTCAGAGAATCAGCAGCAAAGCAGCAATTTAGCACAACTACATGGCTCACTTGTTTGACCCACAGGAAGTTCCCCCATTTTAGAAATAAGCAAAAGACAAAAAAATTAGTTCCAGTGCAGAATTAAAGTGGTGGGAACAGAGAATAATCCAACATAGAACTGAAAGAATAAACAAAATACCCACAGGTCAGAGATGAAATTTGATATTAACTAGTAAAGGTCTAACACCACATGAGAACACCTATAAAACCTAGAATGACTG